TGGCAAGTAATGGAATACTAGCTGCTCCGGACGCCCTACGGGCGCCCTCCACAGCTAGCAATGGTGGTGAGTACCTTAATTGGAATCGGAGCAATTAGTTGAATCTACTTAATAATGATGAATAAAATGTCTGTAACAATACGTGTTGTTAGCAATACGCAATACTGCAGTTAATAAGTCAGGGTCAGTCAAGCCGCAGAGAATAAGATGCCAGGATATCAAGAAGCTGTGAGGCAGAGTAGCCGAGGGATGGCGAAGGAATGTGGGTGGCGAGTGACGAACTGACGAACGACGATGCGACCCAAACTTCCTTCTTTGAGGTTGGTGGAAGGAGAGCTATACGAAAGAAAACGGAGATAGCCGAAAGAACGTGGTGGGAGGGGTGGCTGAGACCCTAGAGGGGGTATCTAGGGACGGGCAAGCAGGTAGCGGCCGGATGACCGCTCAAAACAGCTGAACTTTACTCGTCGATAAAAGTAAGAAAATTTGAGAAAATCGAAAAAACAATTACAGCCTGCAAATCTACAGATCAGAAGCTTTCATTTAAAAAAAACCCCATGCAAATCGGTCCGATGGTTCTCTCAAAGTTAATGCCCCAAAATGCGGACTTTAGTCAGAATAAATGGGAGAAAATTTGAGCCCAGCTAAACTTCACTCGTTGATAAAAGTAAGACAATTTGAGAAAAACGAAAAAACGACCACAGCCTGTAAATCTACAGATCACAGGCTTTCATTTAAAAAAAACCCCATGCAAATCGGTCCGGTGGTTCTCTCAAAGTTAACGTCCAAAGATTCGGACCTCCGTTTTAATGCATCGAAGACAATTTTAGAAAATTATGGGAGAAAATTTGAGAAAATAAAAAAAACGATCACAGCCTGCAAATCTACAGCTCAGGGGCTTTCATTTAAAAAAAATCCCATGCAAATCGGTCCGGTGGTTCTCTCAAAGTTAATGCCCCAAGATTCGGGACTTTGCATTTTAATATATAGGATTCTTACCTGATATAGACATACGTATAGACAAGGATAGGATATGTTTCTTACCTGCAACAGAGAAAATAGAAAATATTAATGCATAATTCGGTAAATATCAAAGAAAAATATGCAATACTTTATTTTCTTTTTAAAAAATTTTATATGTATATATATCTTTGGGAAAAATTAAATTAACTTAGAATCTGGTACGCTAAGGAAAAACGCCGTAGTTGCCATCATTAAACGTTTCTTCATTTCCTTCCATGAAAAACGCATTCTCTGGGAAAATTATGAATATTTTTCCTCCAATATACCGGAAAATTAATTTCATCGTTTTATCTAAAATACATAGTATTTAATTCTAAATACACATCACGGGTCTACGATCTTCACAGAATTTCCTGTAAAGTATCTGAAAATATGATATACTTATTTTTAAAACAAACATTTCTCCGGAGAAAATTCGGCGAATTTCAAATGTGCATGCGCGTTTATGCCCTAACTTCGTGGAATCTAAAAAGCGCAACTTGGATAGCCTAGACTCGGCTCTGGGTCGCGATGCGACGAAATTGCCACATTTTGGGATAAAATTCGGGCAGTATATGTACATAAGTTTAAACAGGAAAAAACCCAGATTTTCTGGTACTATTTGGCAACTATGCGATGCGACGGGTAGCGGCTGCGTTATTTGTTGATTTTGTTCCTCTCCGTATCCTCCTCCTGGGTTTATTTATTTTTTCATTCGGCCGGGCACGGCAAACTTCCCGATGAATTAATAATCGGAACGCCATTAGGTTCAAAATCACGGCCCGAACGAGTTGCGTTATTTTAATCGTTGCATTTTATGCAGCGCCCCATTATCCGAGCCACAATTGGAATTGGCTCGTGCGAAAACGTCCCATGTCCAATACAGTGTTTCAGAATTCGAGCGGACGATTTCGTCGCAACTTACAGACACAAGACGGTTTCAGACGTTAAAGAAGGTAGAACAATTATATAAATAATCCCCTGAGTAGAATAAAACGTTCATTAAAGAGATCGATGTTATTCATTAATGTCGTGGGGCAAAAAAGACCACTGTAATAATGAAACCCTGTTTTGGACAACGGGCGTATTAGCATGAGCAGATTCAATTAGAATCTGGCGTTTTAATCGAGGGAGAAAAATAAGTCAGAAGGGATTATTTTCGCTGGCACGGCATCTACGATCGAATAATGCAACAATTTTTTATAAAAGCCAAATAATGGAGGACCAAGGAAATAGATTGTAGTTTGGTTCAAAAAACCCGATTCTTTAGGGCCCTGAAAATCCAATGGGCCTGTTGCATGCAAGAGATGCAGCCGTGCGAATAGACTTTTTAGAGGTTAAATGGCACGAAAATTACGATGGTCACATTAAAAAAGTCTGAAATACACTCCTTACTGCGCAATTTGTGTTGTTAGGAACGCGTTTTTTCAAATTTCCCGCGTCTGGGGACAGTTTTCTAACGGAAACAATTAACGGCAACTCGCGGCTATTTCCGGTCAACTAAAACTGACAACATAACCTAAAAATCGGAGCTCGTTACATCGTGAAATGAAATGGAGAAGGATTGCGTTGGATATTTAAAAGTTGATCGATTTGGTTACCGCATAAAGCGTATATGGACCACTGTAGGATATCACGTTGGGTTTGTAAACGAACTGAAGGAAAAAATAACAACAACAACGACTCGGCATCTTCCGGAAATCACCGAGCCCGCCGTTTGCTCGTTCCCGGTGATCAGAAAACTGCCCCCAGACGCGGGAAATTTGAAAAAGCGCGTTCCTAACAACGCAAATTGCGCAGTAAGGACTTAAGGAGTGTATTTCAGACTTTTTTAATGTGACCATCGTAATTTTCGTGTCATTTAACCTCTAAAAAGTCTATTCGCGCGGCTGTATCTCTAGCATGCAACAAGCCCATTTTCAATTTTAAAAAAAATAAATTAAAAGCAAAAAACGCCAATAAACATACATGCGGAGCGAATGAAACAAATTGATCACATTGAGATATAGACCGCGTCAAGCTGAAAGAGATCAAGCCACACCAGCTGCTACCAAATTTAATTGGGCAATTTAATTGTTTACATGGAAACAATTGTGCGAATTTTTGTACAAATTTCAGCGGAATTTCTGCATAGAGCGAAGCAAATTCCTCAGAATTTTTATAGGAATCCGCAAAAACGCTCTCTTTTAAAAAATCGAATTTCCCAATTATATTTGGCAATATCTGATGTGGCTTGGTTCTTTTCTGCTAACGCGGTCCTCATATAAGGAAGGATTAAGATTTTCTTCCGCTATAACAGTGTTCAAAATGAACTTTGCAGCCATAATTTAGGTACAAAATGGTGGGCTTCAATTTCTTCGCAGGAAAATGTGATATTTTTTTCATTTAAAATTTTCGCGCCTCAATTTTCATGAAAATAGAACTAAGGTTTCTCTTTCTGTTGAATACAATCCATATCATACACTGGAAAAAAACCGCTTGGATCTAGAGTCCAGACTCTTGAAAACGTTGACAGGAAAAAATACTCTTGATTCAATCGGATTTTTGCTTAAATCAAGAGCCAAGCCTCTTAATTTGAGCGGATTTCCTTTTGATTTAAGCAAAAATCCGATTGAATCAAGAGTATTTTCTCTTGTCAATGTTTTCAAGAGTCTGGACTCTAGATCCGAGCGACTTCTTTTCCCAGTGTATTCCGAGGAAAATCGAAGTCGACTGTATGAATCCCTTAATTATAACACCTCAGGAGTTTGGTTTAAGCCCGCTAAACGTGCATTCTCTATCCTCGGTTCACCGTGGACTGTTGTGAGATCTGAGTGTTTTTTAGTATTTGTGCCTTTACTGGTAATTTTAGAATTTTTCGATTCCAAATAGAAAAATTAGGACTGTAAGATGTCGGCGTCTTTCATAAAATTGTATTCAAGCCCTGATTATCCATTTTTTCGGATATTTCTGAGTCACGTTTTTGGAGCTGATGCTGTGTTTAGATTGCATTACATGCTAAATTGTAAGGATGATGTAAAAAACATCGTAAGTACTGCAATTTGAAGGAATCACAGCAAGAAGGACTCCTTTTAAACCGCAACTTGTGAGAGAGAATGTTATTTCCCTGACAATTTATTTATTCACGCATGGACGAATGCATATTTTCTTGGGAAATATTTTGGTGAATGGACCACTGGACAAGATTGCTAGAAAAGTACGCCACATATTTCCTCTGTGTGTGAATCATTTCCTCTCTATGCAGTTTTTGGAGTCTGAAAGATTGAAAGCCTTCAAAAGATTTTGTTAACGTACAACATTCTCCATGCGATACTTATGCATCGCAAGTCTAACTGCACCGAAACCTAGTTTTAGTTTCATAGTTTTCTTTCTTTATTACTTCGCATTAATCAGCAACTTAGTTTTATTCCGTTTTACCGTCATTCAAGGACTAAGCAATTTTATCCATCATCTTATCTTTTACAGCGTTGGCTGGGACGGAAAAAATACTGACGCATAAAACATGACTGGACTGAACTGAACGTCTACCCAATTAAAAATATAACCACGTTGGTTTCTCTTTTCTCCTCTTGTGTCGATCACTACGTACAACGTAAACTCAAAATAAATCTGTAACTTATAAAAAACCTTCCTTACATTCTCTCACTTAACAATGTTTATATTGCATTTCGCAAAAAGGAACCACAAGCATTCCAATGTCGCTAGGATAGTGCAATTTTTATCACCTTGCAATATAAACTGAACATCTAAACAAGTTTTATCTTTACTCCCGATAAACTATGAATTCAATATGAAATTACCTTGGTAAATTTAATATTTTGCAAGGTTTCAGTAAATTTACTGCAAAGAATATAAGTTGCAGAATCCTAGCAACATTGCAATGCTCTCGATTCTTGTTTACAAAATACAATCTATTTAAGTATTGAATTAAAAAAATCAACGCTTACATATTCTCACGCTAGATTGAAAAAGGTTAGTTTCCTGTTTCACTCCCTTACCTCGTTATTTATTGCTATGCAAGTACCGTAATTTCCGAGCACCGGACACTGATTCACTCCCAACACTCACCCGATCTCAAACCAACACGAACGAAACCCCTACTTTAAAAATGTGCATACGAATAGAACAAGTTTCGAAAAAACATGCGTCCATCCGACTACCGAGTCGCAAATGTCGTTACGCGTGGTGAAATTTCACTTCCACAATCTTCGTACGTTCTTTCGTGCAGCGGAGACGCGAAATTCACAACGATCGAAAAACTCGAAGAACGGTCCGGAGACGTGGATTACGTCAGGAAGACGTAGAGCACGACGAGACCGAATGACGTGAGACGTGCGGCCGCGCTCGGAGGAGAGTTGTGACTGCAAAAGCGACGTCTCGCCGGCACGTCGTCGCGGGGGTCGCGGGGGTCGCCACGCCGCGTCCAAGGTAGCCGGCGCCAGCGCACGCCCCGTCTCATCTAGAGTCCCTTTGTGAGAGTCAAGACAATTCGGCTCATGGATGTCACAAACGGGAATAAAGATTACAGAAATTGAACGTCTTTCGTAATCTTTGATCGGCCCATTCTCAAATGCCTTTCTCCGTTCCTCCTCTCATTCCGTTTGTTCCTTGCCGAACCCGTAATCCCCTGGTCCATTCCAGATTATAATCTTTGCAATGGGCCTGTTGCAAACTTTTGCTAGAGCAAAACTAAGAGTTGTTTCTTATAGATAATGCCTCAAAAATCACGATGAGCGCATCGGCAAACTCTGAAATGCACTCATAACTTCACAAACTGCGTAAGAAATTTGCGGTTTTTTGAGCTTCCCGCTTCAAAAACGATACTACGGCACAGGTGAACATTTTGTAAGAGGAGTCGTTCCATCGTCGGCAATAATCATCATAGCCGACGCCAATCCGCCAAAACACGTTTGATGGGACGAGATAACACCTGAACTGGATTAGACCAGATAACAATCGGTGTGTAAACGTTCATATTTTCCACGTCCGAATTGATTGACCTTGAACTCTCCTTGAATTACGCGCGGAATTGCGTGCAAGCGTCGGCCATGATGAATATCGCCGACGATGGAGCGACTCCTCTAACAAAATGTTCACCTGTGCCGTAGTATCGTTTTTGAAGCGGAAAGCTTAAAAAAACGCAAATTTCTTACGCAGATTGTGAAGTTATGAGTGCATTTCAGACTTTGCCAATGCGCTCATCGTGATTTTTGAGGCATTATCTATAAGAAACAACTCTTATTTTTGCTCTAGCAAAAGTTTGCAACAGGCCCATTGGTGAAAATGTAATCTTTATTCCCGTTTGTGACACTGTGGAGGCCTAAAATACGGGAACCAATCAGAAATGGATTCCAATTGTCTTGACTCTCAGTATAAAGGGACTCTAGTCTCATCCACCTACGCTGCCGTCCTAAGGAACAACGCCGCATGAACCTTCAGGCGTTGCCAGATTTTCATCAGTAAATCACGAATTTTCGGGGAAATTTTTAAATATTTCGCTTCCAATTTTTCAGAAACAGCGGACCCGGGAGGTTTTAGAGGCAACTGAGATGGACTTCTGGCGTAGATCCGCTGGTATTTCCGGAGAGGACCGCGTCAGGAACGAGACGGTACGGGATATCATGGATGCCAAGCAGACCATCGTGCATGACATTATGACAAAACAACTCATTCGGTATGGTCTTGTCCAGAGAATGGCAGGAGACAGGTTGCCGAAGAAGGTCCTTGACTGGGTTCCTCCTGGGAGAGGACGCAGAGGGCGCCCAATGAAAGGTTGGAGGGAAGGGATTGAAGCGGAAATGTTAAGGTGCTCAATCCCCCAAGATTTGTGGTTTGAAAGAGAGCAGTGGAGGTCAGGGGTCGTAGAGCGCGAGGAAGTGCTGCAAAGCGACTAATATGTATGTATTTTTCAGATAATTTTGTTCGCAATTTTACCTAAAGTTTCTGAAAATTTCAAGGGAAAACGATCATAACTTCTCGTAAAAATAAACATCTTACCGAGGGAAATTTGGCAACTCTCGAATGTTCATACGGTGTTCTTCCTTAGCACGGCAGTGAGGAGCAACACCGCATGAGCCTTCAGACGTTCTCTATATATTTCCTTCAATAAAAATGCATCTACTAGAAAAATTGTTAATGTTTTTCTGTAGTTTTTCGACTTTTTTTTCGTAATTAAATCCCAAATATTTGAAAATTTCAAGGAAAAACATACATGACTTTCCGCAAAAATACATGTTTTATTTGGGGAAATCTGGCAAGTCTCGAATGTTCATACGGCGTTCTTCCTTGGCACGGCAAGAATGTTCATATGTCTATGATTTTCATAGAATTTTCTGTAAAATATCTAAAAATTATGACAAATCTTCACATATTTATTTTTGAAACAAATATTTCTACAGAAAAAATTCGGCGAACTTTGAATAAGCCGTTACTTCATCTCATCCACCTACGCGGTTTGGATCAGAGAGAACGCCGTATGGACTTTTACACGTTCTCTTATTTCCTTCAGTAAAAACGTATTGACTAGAAAATTTTTAAATATTTTTCTTTAGTTTTTCGACTTTTTTTCGTGATTAAATCCCAAATATTAGAAAATTTCAAGGAAAAATATACGTGACTTTCCGCAAAAATACATTTTTTATTTGGGGAAATCTGGTAAATCTCGAATGTTCACATGGCGCTCTCCTTTGGCACGGCAAAAATTTCCACGTAATTATGATTCTCACAGAATTTCCGTTTACGTATCTGGAAATTATGAAACCTTCACACGTTTATTTTTGAAACAAATATTTCTACAGAAAAAATTCGGCGAGCTTTGAATATGTCTTTACTTCATCTCACCCATCTACGCTGTTTGGATTAGAAAGAACGCCGTATGGACTTTCAAACGATCTCTATTTCCTTCAATAAAAAACGTGATCTCTGGGAAACTTATGAATATTTTTCTTCAAATTTTTCAAAAATTGTTTTTTGGTATCTGTTTATTTAGCCACGGCTCATTTAGCCACGTGGCGAACTGCAACAAAAATTGTTGCAAATTGCCACAAACTCCGGGTGCTGTGTGGCTAAATGCAAGAAAACTTAGTGTGGCTAAATGCAACAAAAATTGTTGCAGTTAGCCACAGTCTTTGGAATGGCCTACCGAATTCAGCAAAAAAAATTGTTATTTATCCTCCCATTCTTATTTTACTGCAGTGTAAGTGATTTTATTGAAGATCTGAAATAGATTAAAAAGAAAAAACAACCATTCGTATGTATTGAAAACAATTTTTTTTAAAAATAATTTTACCATCCTCCACTAGTGACCAATGCAATACTGATTCTACTTTACGCTGAAATACATGAAAATCTACTAATAGGAAAATATCCGAAGTAATTATTGCATCCAGCTCTCCTTCCTTAGATTAGGTCATTAGGTAAGGTTAGGTTAGGTTATGTTAGGTTAGGTTATGTTAGGTTAGGTTAGGTCAAGTTCGTTTCGATTAGGTCCAGTAACGCTGCAATGCAGATACCTGGTTTTATCCTTTGGCCGTGTGGCTAACTGCAACATAATTTGTTGCACTTTGCCACGTTTGCCACACTAATTTTTCTTGTTTCGTTTAGCCACATAGCACCTCAAATCTGTGGCAAGATGAGCTGTGACTGAATGAGCTGTGGCTAAATGAAACGTAATCTTGTTTTTTTTTGTAATTTTATCCAAAATACTTGAAAATTTCAACGAAAATATGCACAACTTCCTAAAAAAAAGGAGGAAAATGCATGTTTCACCCGGAGAAATGTGGCAAATCTAGGATGTTCATGCGGCGTTCTTCCTTAGCACTGTGGTATGGACGTTGCTTAATTTCGTTCAATGAGGTATGCAATTTTAGAGGAACTTGTTAGTTTTCTTCTTCCAATTCTCCAGAAGATTTTATTTACAACTCAACCTGATAAATAAAAAAATCAGGAAGCTCCCACTCGTCCAGCGAGTCGCTTTCGTGTGCGAGAGAGACAGAAATACCCAGGCGGCACGCTCAAGTGTGCGAGAGAGATAGAAAATCGCCTAGTGGAACGCTTGTATGTGCGAGAGACAGCAAAAAGCCAGGCGGCCCGCGTATGTGTGCGAGGGAGATAGGAGGTAGCCAAGCGTCTCGCGTTAAATCACCTTAAATTTCGTTTTTTCAAACCTTTCCCGAAATTTGGGGACTTGCCAATAACGTCAGTTCGCCTAATTTTGAACTGGTTTTGATCTTACTGAGATAATGTGGAGGCAAATCTAGGGGAAATTGGCTTATTTCGCGGGAAAATCAAAGGACCTTTGAATTGCCATACTTGGGGATCCGAACCTCCCCTTAAAATTAGTTCGAAGTGATTTCTGCAATTTTTACTTAAAAGCGAACACAATTTGGTAAATTTTCCCGTTTTACTTTTTCTTTACGATAATTTGAATCGGAGTTATGATTTTTTGAAAATGGGTCAAAGAGGGTTATTCATATAGGCGAAAAATGTACCCAGCCCGGAATGTACGAAACTTTGTGGGCTGATAGTACTAGTTGAGAGAGGCTTATCCCTAGCTCCGTTTTTGCAGGAACCCCAGGGAAACAGCGTTGCCATTTTTTAAAGTCGTAACCTTCAAACATCCATAACTTTCGTATAAGTGCAGTTACAGAGCTCGTATTTATACCAAAAGACGCAGAAAATTACGCTCTATTGACTTATGCAAAAGAAATTTTAATTTGACTCCACTGTTGCCACGTTTTATCCATTTTTTTAATTTTCGTAATTATTTAAAATCACGTTACCGCCTAAAAAAGTGTTTGCGGTCGGTGGGGATTGAATAAAAACCTGTCAGAATTATTGTTCGTTCGATTCCGCATCCATCGATATATTATACTTTTCTGAGAGACTTAGGGAACACGAGTTATAGCGATTTGAAAATTCGGCAACACGCCCAATACCCCGATATTGACGCTCGTTTAGGTACGTTTCGCAACTCCGTGTTAAAGCAAAACGCCTAGAACAAACAAAATTCGAAAAGTCAGTTCATGTTTTGCGCTTTTTTGAAACTTTCACATGATTTTTAGGAATTCAAGGAGCGGCGGTGTTGCCGGTTTTCAATGAAAACCACCGCTGCCATCACAATTTAAAGTAGTACTCATTTAATCTTATCCACCTACATTTGCTAACCTAAACTGACCATTTGCGACATGGTGTTGACAAAATTGCCTAATTTCCGTCGGAATTCGCGTAGAGGCGGGGTTGCAAGTATTCATGGAAACCGCCACCGCAATCACAAAAAAAATGTATTACTTATTTAATCACGTTCACCCTTATTCTGTAGTTGGAATTGTTTATTTA